GGCTCGCTAGACTGCCGTTCTTAAGCCGACCTAGTGTCGTGGATCACGCACAAGATTTGGGAGCCACAGTTCACTATGGAGGCAGGCGCCGCGTCTGTTTGCAGAAACCTCGCTTCACAGAGGCGATACGACGCTTCCAGAAAGCAGCGGACTTACCTCTTCGGCCGGACCAGAAGATGCAGCTTGTACAGTTGATGACACCGGTTGCAACGCATGCTTGTGAGATCATGATTCCAGCGGCTCATCGAATGGACCATTTGCGTGAAGTTATTTCTAAATTGTTGCTGCCAAATCGGTCGTGCAATAATGCTTGGATGACGTGTGTTTTCACTACCAAAGCCAATCTCGACCCCTTGTGTGCAATTGCAAAAACCATGCTAACCACTTTGCATCACTTGACAAGACAGAGATGGGGTATTGTTGGTGATCTTTGGGAATTGGCATGTGAATACCAGCAGCCGTGCTACAAGACTAAACGCATGAATGCAATAGGCCCGGCAGCTTCCTTAGCACGCCTTGCTGAGCATTTGCACTGGCAATTACTGCCAAACGTGCGCATGCAAGCTGACAACTTCGGCATGGTCGATCTGCACTATGCATCATCTCAAGACTTGCTGAGATGCCTCGACGTCACATGGGACGATTGCATCACAGCAGCGGCCTTGCATCGAAAACAGTGGCAAGAGTTGCACTCCATCAACATTACCTTGACTAGGCATTGTTGCAACAAACTCAGACCGGATGAGTTAGCCATTCTGACAAACCACTGGACAGGCGCGCTCCAGAGTGTGGCCATGAAAGCCCATTGGCTTCCTCTGGATGAAATTACTTGTCCGTTATGCGACGTCCAAATGACGGATGACCATGTTGTCGTTCACTGTGAGGCGCTTCGAGAAGCCCGTGCTCCATGGCAACAATGGATTGCGCACTTGCCGGAGGACATGAAATATCTCTGCATCATGCCGGTCGCTCATCAAATCCCTGAGGAATCTAGTTTGAGGGCATTGCAAGCGGCTACAGGTATTGTTTTCCCGCTAATGCACAAACCGCAGGATGACGTGCAATGCACTTTTTTCGCGGACGCCAGCTGCCATGACAGGTTGCGGGACATTGAGAACCAGGCGGCCTGGGCTATTGTCGCCTTTGAACAAAACACCCTTTCAAGTGTTGTTGCAGGTACCTTGGAAATACCCCTTCTGACCACTCAAGCCTACACGACTTCGGGTTCGTTGCCAGGTAGGCAAAGCGTAAATCGCGCAGAACTTTTTGCCATTGCAACGGTTGTTGCAAATGCCAATGGTGGCGTAATTGTCACAGATTCCCAGTACGCTTTGACAACCGTTTCTCAAATCCTTGTTAACCCAGATCCTGGGGAACATGGAGACCGAGACAACCTTGACATCATTTATGCTTTGTGCCATGCGTGTGCTAGTAAGCCTTTGCATGGTTTCCAACTTGAGAAAATCAAGAGCCGCCAGCCACAGCCTGAAGACGCTAGGACCAAAGCAGCATTCCACCACGAAGGCAACCGCCTCGTGGACTCTGCGGCCAAGCAGACCCGTGTGAACCTGCCAGATCGACACCTAAATACGCTGATTCGTGATTGCCACGCGGCTAGTGTCAAGTGTCGCCAAACAACATTGCGAGCCATGCAGTGTGTGGCCGCCATGCACAAAGCTTTTGTGCAAGCAAAAAGCTTGAAATCACAAGACCCTGGACAGTCCGTGTCGCAGACATCGAGTCCTGCACCACATACAGTTTTGATGCCGCAATACCTGCAAACAGAACAGTGGCCGACTTCAGTCTTGGATCAGGACAAACGCCGGTTAATGTTTTGGGGTACCACGTACACTTTGAGGCTTTACCAATGGGTTCAATCCCTTCGTTGGCCCAAAAATTTGCAAGATGCCTGTAGTGACGTGACTTGGTACTGTCAATTTTCGACTAGTCACACAAAGCTTCGTCCCCATAAATCAGGGTACGAAGTACATACCCAAATACGTCACACCTGACCATGAGCCTGCGCTTGCTTTTACACCTACATCTGCCGCCCAAGTCTTAAGAAACTTCAAAGACAGTTTGGAGTACCTTTCGACGCTTGTGGATGCACCTTTGTGGCCGGCAACCAAAATCGCCACAGCTGTGACTATGTGTAAAGCCATGCGTAGATTGAAAACACAACTGGGCGGTTTGAACATCCGCCCAACAATGCAATTTGCTGAGCAAGAATCCACACCTAACTTCGATGGAGTCTTATGGGCATTACCGACAGTGCCAAAGGTTGAGCCATTGATCAAGATCCCGCTCCAGGCAGATGATGATCCTTCTTGCTGCCACTTGGCAAAGAGCCGCTTCAAGAACTTCCACAGGAAGCGTGCCTAGACGTCTCACCGTGTGTTGGTGTGCCTGTTGTCGACTCTCGTTGTTTGTTGTGGTTGTCGTCTCGTTTTTCTGGCCTTCGGGCCTTCGTGTTGCCCAATAGTGGCAACCGCGAAGTCTCACTTTGACAGATGGACCGGCCGGCATCACGGGGAGGGTGTCGGTCATACAAGTGTGTGCGCTCTAGGGTGGGTGGGTGGGTTCCCCCTTTTTAGGACGCGGAGTGCTCCTGAGGCCAATTGTGCCAGGGGGGTCATGGATTTGAATTCGGAAGGTTTATCTCTTCAGGATGATGATTCTGGATATTCGCCTGAGCGGGTGCTCAGCCCTTCGGAGGACATTTCTGCTTCGGTCGATGTTGACGCGTCGTTACAATCTGCGTGGCAGAGCCTTCAAGATCGCGGCCCTCATCAGATTTGGGAGGACGGTTTCTGGAGTCAAGTTTTTGGACATCAATCGCAGTCTTTCTTGGCTCCTGCCTTCACTCAATTTGACAGACCCATGCAGATCGGTTCCTTTGCAGAGATTCCTGAAGACGAGTCTTCAGAGCTGGGTGGGCGGACGCTCAAGAAACCGCGCACAGCTACAGATTTATTTTTGCAGGTTGTGAAGAAGGGCAAGCAGATTTCATGGCGAGATGAACGTGAAGCCAGACGTCAATGTGCTTTGAAGAAATGGCTCGAGCTTATTTATTCATGGAAACCTGAAATCAACATTCGGATATGGATTGATGAGTGCGTTGATTTGCAATCCAAACTGGACATGCTCGAGGATGTATTTGCTGGCAAAGCGCCTCAGACACTCATGAAACGGGCAAACAGCATGACGCGTTTTTGCAAGGATGCGGCTGACATGCTGGTTATGTTTCCTTGCACGGAGAGTGAAGCGTACATGTTGTTGAACCAGGATCGCATTAACAAAGGTCCCGCTTCTCGACGCAAGGCGTATTTGGAAGCTTTTGCTTTTTGCAAATTTGTGCTCAACGTGGATGAGATCACGCCTGTTCTGCAAAGCAAGCGTTGTTTTGGCACAGCGGTTCGCAACGAACAAGAGGTTCTCAAACAGGCAAGCCCATTGCTGGTTTGTGAGCTGATCACTCTTCACGGTTTGACTCATGACAAGTCGAGTTTGTGGGATGCAGTTTTTGCGGGAGCAGTATTGTTCGTGGTCTATGCTCGGGCTCGATGGTCAGATGCGCAGCATGTCGAGAAAATTATTGCTGACATGGACTTTGAGGAGGATACTATTGCTTTCATCGAAGGCAGGACGTCAGTTCACAAGAGTCTCAATGCAACTGCATTCAAGCACAGAATGTTGCCGTTGGTTGCAATCACAGATGGAGTGCGTGTTGACAGGTGGGCTGAGGATTGGCTTGATTGCAGACGTGTTTTGGGGATTAGGGATCCGCCTGAACATCCTTTGATGCCTGCACCTGATGAGACAGGTGCCCCGACTGTTAGGCCGCTGGATTCGAGTGAAGCTGGCGAATGGTTGAGGGCCATCTTGGTCAAGGCGGGGCACGCTGTCGAAGGACGGAAGCTGACTTCTCACTCGCTTAAGGCTACATGTTTGTCATTTGCTGCGAAGAGAGGATTTTCGCAACCTGATCGTTTGACCCTGGGATATCATGCTCATCAAGACATGGCGCACAGATATGCCCGCGATGCCATGTCAAGACCTCTCCAACTCTTGTCAGACATGATGCGAGAGATTCGTGAGGGAGTGTTTGTTCCTGACAACAAGAGGAGCGGAAGGCTTATGCCCAAGGGGGCAACCAAGCTGGCGAAGGGCTCTTCACTTTCTCCAACCCCGAAGCAGGCTCCGGCTCCTTTCTCTTTGGTCGAGGACACGGCGTCGTTGGATCCATTGCCAGCAGCTCAGCAGGAAGCTCCTCAGCATGAGCTGGAGTCGGTTGCAAGCTCGGACAATGGTATTAGTTCGCAGCATGCTCAGGGCTCTTTTTCCTTGGTTGAGGATGCAACTTCAACGGTGCAGTCAGGGCAGTTCCTCCATTCGGACTCAACCATGTTGGTGGACCTGATGAGCCAGGCGAGGGAAATTGCGGAGGTCGCTGGGGTCTGCTGCAAGTTCAGACAATGGGGTCACCAGCTCCTCTTGTTCGGATAGCGAACCGGAGTTGGAGTCTCCCAAAGTATGCAAACCCCCAGAAGCAGTGGTGGGTACTGTCATGGTGCAACACAAGAAGTGGCGCACGGTGCACTTGGTACCTGAGGGCTTCAAGAAATTTCTGCAGTGCGGGAGAGCGCTTAATGAGGCCTTCAGCTGGGAGCCTCAGTTGAGATGGGACACTCCCAAGCGCAGACAGTGTTTCAAAAGCGCCGTTTCCTTTGCGGAAGCTAGCGGTCGCATTGACAGAGCCGCACCTTGACGAGAGATCAGGCGCAGGGCGTCCAAAATCTGTTTCACTTGCATTTCTGTAAACAAAGACTCAGAGCCATGCTTGTTGTGCTGAGTGAGAAATCCGGGTGATGCGCCTGGGAGGTCGTAGGTTTCTTTTCTGAGATCTTTCGTTTGCATGCAGGCATGTTAGGAATTGCACCCTTTTGAGAATGCCAGCATTTGGCTTCTAGAGGGTGTGCTTGCTCGGCCGTGTGACAAGAATGGCGCTAGTGGATTCACGGGCCGCCTTCGAGCAAAGATGTCAGGAGATTGACAGCTCGGGGGATTTGTTCCGAGGATTGGATTCGCAGAACATTAGGACTTTCTCCCAGCTTGCATTTATTTCCGGGACCCCGCAGCAGCCCATGAATCAGGATGACTTTTCGCAACTCTCTGCACAGGTATTCGGGGAGGGAGCCGATCTTGGTGTCGCAGCCAATCTACGCCGTTTGCAGTTTGAAGCGGCAACGTTGGTCGTTGCAGACCTCAAGTCCAAGGTTTCTTCCAGCTCCCAGCCCGAGGCCACGCAATTACCGGCGGCCGAAAAGGCTGCGCGCAAGCGGGATCAGCGGGCTCGACTCCGAGGCATCCTGGCCAAGGGAGAGCTCGAGCCTTCCGACGCTTTGTTGGACCTTGCGGCGGGCATCGTGGAAAGCAATGTGGTTTTGTGGATCAGTCCTGAGCGTTGTGGCAAGCGAGAAGATGAGTTGTTGCAGCTCAACAAGAACAACAGACAGGTTTTGTCTGTTGATGCTGACACAATCAAACTGTCATCTGCTAAGCCTGAGGTTAAGGCAGACGTTGGCACAGAACTTCGCTTGCAGTGGGCCCTGCAGAGGAGAGGTCTTGCTTTCGATTCATGCCTTCTTGTGGATTGGAGCGTTCATGAAGCCTGGGTACAGCAATTAATGACCACTCTGACTCGGCCTAGTCTTCAGAGTTACGCCAGCGTGAAGGTTTCGCAGTTGATGAAGGCAGACCAGCAATTGTGGTTGCTGGCGTCGGATGAAGCCTGAAGCCGGCTGCAGACGGTGTCAAGCCGCTCAACCAGGTGGTGGAGAAGCTGCGAGTTGATCCGCGTGTCACCATGCACCTTCTTCCTTTGCCCACTCATGTGGCCAAAGAGAGCACAGTTGCTGAGCCGAAAACCAAGAAGACAGGTAAGGTGACGAAGCCTTCTGCAAAGGATAAGGCTCCACCTCGTTTCAAGGCTCGGGGCCCGAGAATGCCCGAAGAATTGAGGCCTTACCAACTGCAGACTGCCACGAAGCAGAGGATTTGCTATGGATACAATCTCGCTCAGGGGTGTAGCTTGGCCACTTCGGGCAGTCCCAAGCAATGCACCAAGGGGGTGCATGTGTGTGCGAAGTGCCACAAGGAGAATCGCAGCTTGGTCAACTGCCGAGCCAACTGACTTTCGGTTGGACGCTCCGGTGGCAGTGAGAATGTGGTTTCGCAACTTTTTCATTCAAGCGGGTCTTTAAGCCAGAAGCTGGGTGCCCGCAAGCAGGAGTTGCTTGCTGACAACCGGGCCCTTCTTGCATGCCTCGCCAAGAAGCGAAGCGTGCGAGGTTCGATTCGGAGCCCAAGGCCGACACACCTGAAGGTGTCGAAGCTCCCTTTGAGAAGTCCGAAGAGGACACCCTTCTGCAGAAGTGCAATGGGGTTTTCACTGAAGAATTGATTTGCATAGAAGTTTTTGCTGGCAGTGCTAGGCTCTCACAGGCAGTCACCAAAGTGGCACTGCAGGCAATGGCTATAGATCACACCATTTCCAAAGCAGCAAAGCAGCACATTGTGATCATGGACCTCAGCAAGGAGCATGGCATTGCTGAGTTGCGTGGTTACATCAAAGCGAATTCGTCTCGCATAATTTGGATTCATTTTGCGCCGCCTTGTGGCACGGCATCAAAGGCCCGAGAAAGGCCTCTCAAGAAGTGGGCTGCTCCAGGGTTCAGTGTGCCTGGACCTTTACGGTCCACAGCCCGGCCTGATGGGCTCGACAATCTGTCAGGTGCCAACAAAGCCCGAACGGAGAAAGCCAATGTTCTTTACGAAGTAGTACATGAACTTTGCGTTTTGGCCCATCAACTCCAAGTTGCTTTTACAATTGAGAATCCATGGGGGTCGTATTTCTGGATCACTTCCCCCATGAAGCAGTTGCAATCGGACGTGACCATCTTCGAAGTGCGTTTCCACAGTTGTTGCCACGGAGGAGAACGCGACAAAGGGACAATGTTCTGGACGAATGTGCAATGGTTCAATCCTCTTGCCTTGCTTTGTGATGGTTCACACCCGCACAAACCCTGGACTACAGTTGCGCATAACAAACGTTTGACTTTTGACACGACAAGCGAAGCCGCTTACCCTTTTGTTCTGGTGCAGCGCATGGCGGCTATTGTCAAGCAGACAGTTTTGCGTGCAGGCGCTGTAGACGCTTTGGATCTCCAAGCGCAGTCCGACAAACCGCATCACTCGCTGCATCGCGTTGTCATGGGCGCTTTTCCTAGGGGTAAAAGGCTCAAACCCTTGCTTGCAGATTTCGGCGACTACCGCGCCGTGCTGTGCGCCGCGCAGAATACCCAACCGCTGGACAAACATTTGGAATCGATGCCCAAAGGCGCTGCTATCGTACGCAGGCATATTGTGGAAAGGGGGGAAGTCGAGCGGGCCTGCAGTGGAGGAGCGCTTTTATTAGCTGAACATGGCTCTTTTGCAGATGATGCTGTGATGGAGAAGATTGTCCTGGGGGTGCCACGAAAGCCCGCCGATTTCATTCAAGCGGCGGTGCAGGCTGGACACCCGAGAAGTTTCGCAGTTACGTTGAATGCTGTTTCGGAGGAGGCAGTCGTGGCAAACAGGGATTGGCCGGTGACGGACTTGATTAGGGCTCGCATTGATTTCTTGACGTACTGGATGAAGAGGGCTCAAGAGCTCGAGCATGCCGAAAAAACCCTTCACTTGTCTATGCCGGAATATTTACAGCAAGTGTTGAGAGGCAAGCGAATTTTGCTCATGGGCGAGATGCTGGAACGACTGGGCTTTGAGGACAAGTATTTGCAGCAGGATGTCTCAGAAGGGTTCAAATTGACTGGTTGGTTGCGGGAAACCGGATGCTTCCCCAAGAAAATTCGGAAGCCCGCCATGCCCGCGGCAGCGGTCATGGCTATGGCTAGTTCTGTCAATCAACGAATTGTCAAGCAGATGGCTGAGACCTCCTTTAGTGAGACGGACGCCAAGGCCTGGGACGAGACGCTGGCGGAACTGGACCGTGGGTGGATCTTCAGAGACGACGCCCCGGACCTCGGAAAAGTCCTGCTGGCTAAACGTTTTGGATTGGCGCAGAAGGAGAAGACTAGGGTCATTGATGATTTCTCGGTTGGAGGTTTGAATTCCTTGGCTGGACTCAGGGAGAAACTGGCGGTTCAATCCATAGATGAGATCGCTGCTCACTTGGCTTTCGTCATCGATTCGAAAAGTAGCAGGTCCATGGGCGGCGTCTTGGGAAAGACCTATGATCTCACCTCGGCTTACAAACAGTATGGTGTTCATCCCTCCGACAGGGACTTGGCCCGGATCGCTGTCAAGACACCTTCGGGTGAATTGGCTTTCTTCGGAACAAACGCTCTCCCATTCGGTGCAGTGGGCAGCGTCGGCGGTTTCCTTCGTATTTCGGCAGCTCTGACGTTTGCAGGCCTCAAGGGGCCCAAGCTATGGTGGACGAGTTTCTATGATGACTTCACAGTTTTCTCGGATGCACGTGCGTTGACCTCAGCTGCGGTGAGTGCTGAGGCGCTCTTCGACCTGTGGGGAGTGAAGTTCGCGAAAGATGGCAAAAAAGCAGTGGACTTTTCGGCAACCGTGAAGTCATTGGGATTGCTGATTGGTCTTGACACCATTCTTGAAGGGCGCATCCGCATTATGCACACTCCCGAGCGCAAAGCAGAGCTTGAAGAAGCGTTGAAGGGCATCCTGGAAGCGGGAGAACTTACGTGCAAACATTCGGAGCAGCTTCGAGGTCGCATGATTTGGTTTGAGGGCTTTGTTTGGGGGCGTCAGGCCAACAGCGCCATCAGGGCCCTGAGGTTGCCTTTCATTTCAGGGCCGGGCGTCACAGTGTGTAAGCTATCCCAAGCAATGATCCGTGCTCTGGATTTTTTGATTGAAAGGGTGCGAGAAGGTCGCCCTCTTGAAGTTGCTGCCAAGATACAGGAGTGCTGGATCGTTTTCACGGATGGCGCTTGCGAAGGAGCGAGCGACAAGGCGGGTTCGATCGGGGGCGTACTCGTGGATCCTTCGGGTAGATGCGCACGCTATTTCTCTGAGCCTGTGCCCGACGTGTTCATGAGAGCTTTATGTGCTGGATCCAAGAATCCGATTTACGAGCTGGAAGTTTTGCCAGTGCTCATTGCGCAGCGACTTTGGAAATCCTTTCTTGGTTTTTTCGCAGGTGGTCTATTACATTGACAATGAAGCTGCACGAACCGCGTTCATTTGCGGGACAGGAGCAACCACTTTTACAGACAGGTGGGTTGTCGAGAGCTGCCGCCTCGAAGCAGACCTTCAGATTAAATCTTGGTTTGCCCGTTGCCCAAGTGTCTCCAATCCAGCAGATTCACCCAGTCGCTTGGAATGCGAAGAGCTCCAAGCGCTTGGTTGCACACAGGACAAAGTGGAATGGGAAGCTGTGCCTGAGTTTCCCCCTCGCAATTGAGGATGGGGGGAGGCTGCGGCTTGCTAAGGAACCTGCTGAGTGTTCTGTTTTTTCCCGTGCAAGTACACTTGATGTGTGGAGTGTGGAGCACACTTATTTGTATCGACTGTTTGTCTTTTTACGTGGATAGGATCCATGCGCTAATGCGAGGGTCGTTAAGGGAAAATAAGTAGGGACTCTCGTAGAGATGAATACCTTATTTTTCCAACAAACGATTCCGAACCTTCGTGAGGAAACGAGCATTCAGTTGGAGTTGTTTGTCTTAGCTCAGACTCGTTGCAAGGATTGCATGTTGTGTCTGGCTCTAGGGTGGGTGGGGTTAAAACACCCGGAAGTTGCCACAGCGCAACTGGGCTTCTTGCCCTTGGTTCGCTGAACCTCTAGTTCCACCTTTTCAGTTGGCGCAAATGGATTGCGATGGCCCTTATCCTCGGATGGATTTGCAGATCGTGCTGCCATTATGCTGGGGACCTTTCAGGTTGAAAGTGCCTAGTGACGTGTCAATCAGACAAGCCTTGTGCGTTGTGGACTTGCAGCGCTTCGCAGATGCTTGTTTCGTGCAAGGCCGACAGATTTCAGCCAATGCTATGACTCACACCTTGACATATACCAAGCAGCATGAGTCGCCCGATGACCTTTTGCAAGAAAAAGGACTTTTTGGCCAGATTGTCAACAATTGCCACCCGGAAACCGGCAACTACCGTTTTCTGTCTCCGTTTGAAACTGCCCTGGCGCTAGTGAACACGGACTTTTTGATCCTCCCTGAAGACGTCAAAATTGCGGCCCGCATGGTAGGCAATGCCATTTCAGTGTGCCACGCAGCAATCGTGTTGTGTCAGTGCATCAAGGTCTATGCTCGGGCTGGCATTGTCAGTCATTTGAACCCAGAAACTTGCATTGCACGACTCTTGCTTCGCAAAATGACTCGGTTCAATGCGAATGTGAGTCCTTACGGGCAAGGTTGGATCATCTTGGACCAGTCGGCCCCGCCCGCGACTCCTGGGCAAGAGCAACCTCACCCTGTTCCAGCTCACAGATTGTGTCACCAACCCAGCAGTTCAGGAGTGTCGTCGAAATTACATGCGTCACCCCGTGAGGTCTTTCGACTGCAAAGCACGTGGCTGGTGACCAAGCCCAGCGAGCTCTTGGTGTGAGATCCCATGAAGGCCAGCAGCTTTTCATCAGAAGTTGCAACAGTGAGTCCTTCACACCGTGCGACTGGCTCAGTCCCATTGACTCGGATTCTGTGTGCATTGTGTTGCCCTTGGAGGCTCTTTGGAATTTTCATGAAGCTTGCGAATTGGCCCGCTTGTTAGAGAACATTCATGAAAGCAACCTCAGTGCGATCAGAGCAAGAAAAATGCAGCAGTTCCACGTAATGCTGTTCCAAGCGACCGAGTGCCTTCTTGACATCACCATCCCGCTTGAAGACGTGCATGATGTGCGATCCAAAATTGGCATGATGCCCGTGTCTCTTGACCTTGATACACATTTGCCTATCCCGTGCATGTTCCGCAATCCGATACATTGTTGGCTGGTTGATTTCGCCGACTTGCCTGTCCCTGAAGACGCCCAGCATGCACCCATGCCTAAGCGAAGGTGCCTGGACCAAAGTGTGCCACACGGTGCTCATGACACACACATTGCCCCAGTGCCTGACTTCATTAAGTTGGCCATAGGTTTTGCTGGAGACCACACTGGGGAAATTCGCGTGGATCCTAAGGAAACCATTTGGACCATTGCACAATCGTGGTGTGGAAAGAAGGCGATAGCACTTCGCGAGATCAGGAGCAATGGGAATCCGATCGCTCCTGACCAAATGCCAGCTTCGGTTGACGGCCAAGTGGTACGATGCTTCCTTGTGGGAGTGCCTGGAGGTGCTAAGCAACACATCAAGAGTCAATTAGCGCAGATCTTCATCCAGGGATGCATCCCATCCAAGCTTGTGGCGCCGATTGTGGCCCAGGTTGCGAACACAGTGCCAGTGAGTGAGCTCAATTCCATAGTCAGTGCCAGTGACGGAACTGACAAGCACGATGCATTGTGCGCACTTGCCCGAGCGCATGGAATTAACATCCCGATTCCTGGACAAGCAATTCGACCCAATGGTAAGGGCAGTCTTTTGAGCCGAAAGATTTTCGTCTTGATCCTTCTTTTTTTGCCCGCAGCACCGGTGGAGAGATCGGCATTGCTTCGGAGATCTCCAGCAATGCCACTGGCGTCATGATTGGAACCTATGACCAGCTTGTACCGTGGTTGAGAACAGGAAAGACTCTACCAGACGAGCTTGGAGTCATCCTCATGAAACCACCGCCTCAGGATTGTCCCGCAATTTTTCGTGTGCAGGCCATCACCTTTCCGGCATATGATTGTGCAGGGCGAAAATTTCTTCTCAGAGGGCACCTTGTCCAGCTTGGGCCCAATGACATTAAGTTGTCGTGTGATGAACTAAAGACTGAGGTGCCAGAAACTGCTACCATCCACCTCACAGTGTGCAAACCTGATTTCACTAATGACGAGTGGAACCGGATCGTTGAAGCGCCTGCCCGGCAAATCCTTGCGAGAGTCAGATTGCTTGAGAATCGGAAATTGATCAAAGCTGTGTGGGGCAGATCATTCCGTGCAAACGGCAAACTGGCTTCGCCGCAATTGGCCACGTCCGTCAGATGCTTTGTGGCCATCCAGAAAGACAAGATGGAAACCGCCACGCAGGAGTCTGGATTCTCACGTGTCTACATCTCACCGGCTGAGGAAGGTGATTTCAAGCCTGATCTCACCTACCTTTTGACATGGACTCGGGCAGCATCCAGACCGGAAGTCGAAGCGATTTTGGTCTCTGTTGCTGGGCATCTTGGATACATCCAAGGACGGAACGGTTTTGCCATCCGAACATTGTGTTCGCAAGCGTCCGCTGTGTGGAAACTTTGCAGACCAGATGATCCTTTCCGCGAACCAATCAGGCCTGTTCACCGATACAACCTGTCAGGGCTCCCCTCGTCTTACGACAGCAACATGCTTGAGGCGGTTTTTGACAAGATGGAATGGAAGGCGCGCCCTGTTAAGAGAGCTCGTGGCTGTGTTTGGCACATTGCTTCGGAGGCCCCCGTGAAAGAGCGTACGTTCGTCCTCAATGGACATACAGTCATGCTCACTTCAGTTGATCCCAAAGCCAAACATGTCAGTACTTTGGTTGCAGGACAGGGCCAACCGCAGATGTGTGCAAGCAGCAAGGCTGATAAGCAAGATCCATGGCAACACGGTCTGGATCCTTGGAGTTTGCAAAAGACTCAAGCAATGCCGAGCGCACCACAAGGACCAGCATCAGCCCAAAATGCCAAAATGGTTGAGCTTGAGCGCCAGATGCTTCAATTGCAACAAAAGCAGGAGACGCTTGCAACTGAGACGTCCGATAAGATTGCGCACGTGCAAAATGACTTGAAAACCTTGTCAGATCAGACGCGAACGCAATTTTCATCATTTGCTCAGCAAATCCAATCCGACATGCAAAGTATGAATGAGGGCATTCGTACCACGTTGGCGGATCAGTTGAAACACGCCCTTGCAGTACAGAGTGAGGAGCTCGTGAGAGCAATGCGAAGCAATCAAGAGGCTGAACCTGAACATAAGCGCCCCAAGAGCGGGTGAAAACCTTTTAGATTCTTTGACAAACCACATCTCTCTTGTTTTGGAGTGAAGGTCATTCGGAACCTGTTTCAGAGCAATGACTTGATGAATCATAAGAGGTGTGGTTTCATCAGAAGAGCTTTCGAGGACCTCCCTCGGAGTTTGGGGATTGGCATGCAAACTGGCATGCAAAATGGGATATTTGTTCCACAGGAACACCAATCTGATACATGTTTCCTCGATATCGGGAATAATTCACACAGATATCACCTCCGCCCGAGATCGCAATCTATGCGTGATCGAAAAAAGGACACGCGATCCGCCGTGACCTTTGCATTGGACATTTTCCATTTCCTTCCGTGCGAATTGCGTTGCAAGCTGTATAAGCTGTCGCCCAACCACGGAATGAGATTGGGTGAAGCCAAGAACCCAGGACCCGATCAACTTTTTACCTTCTGTGCCACCAACCCAACGGCTTTGTTCAACAAGACTTCAGCTGTTTTATCGTTGGATGCGCATTGCACTTTTTTCTCTGAAACAAGCGCTACAAAGTGTGCACAGATGAGCATTTCGCAAGACTTTGCGGCAACACCACAAAAATTATTTTGGGGCAAGCCGGTGCTTCCCCGAAGTGTGCAGCGCAAGGAAGACTCATTACGAGGCCAGAGCATAGGAGTTGCAATCGTTACCAGTTTGCCTGCTAGATTGCCGCACCAAATCAACCATACCATGTTGGACACATGCCGATTCCAGGAAATCTGGCTCCAGGTCGGTAGCCTCCCGGTTTTGTGCATAACAGTTTATGGATTTCATACAGACCAACGGGACCATAACCATTTTAATTGTGTCCTACTCAATTCCGTCCTAGCCAGCGCGAGTCAAACCACGGGATGTGTTTTGATTGGGGGAGACTTGAATGCCATGTTATACCCCCAGGAACACCGTGACCTTTTAGCGAGCAGAGGATTCGTTAACCTCATTGAGATAGCAAAGCATAAATGGCCTGACGCCACGCCACCCACATGCCGCGGTTCGACATGGAATGACACTTTTTTGGCGAAAGGACCCATTGCCTCTTTCTTTACCTCAGGATGGGTCGATCCTGAGAAATCTTTCGGCGAGCATGCATCGTTTTTTGCTCAATTTAGCGTGCCATCACAAGTGTGCTGTGTGAGGCGATGGGCCATGCCCAAAAATTGGATGGACCTGCATCTGAAAAACACTTCATTAATACTCGCATCGGCCTCCAGAGCCCTCATCCCCCATGGCATTAGAGACGTGGGCGAAATGTGTCGAGGACGCTGTTTCAGCCTCTCTACCATCCGAGTGGTGTGGGTATCAAGAACTTCCGCCGCGTTATCTTGGCAGATGCAAGGCTCCTGTTTTTACTATGGTTCAGCAAG